GACAGGGCTGCCAGTCTTATGATGTCATTGCCTTGCTAAGATATTCCAGCTTTTTTCATGCTGTTTATTCATGCTCTCTCATATACTCTCCTTCTGCCTAAATAAGTTTGTTCAAAAGAGAAGATAAGTGATTTATTCTAATTGAAAACCTAGTGTTACATAACTGGCTTGCTACAAGCTTAGCTGAACTTAAGGCTCAAACGTGTTTGGGATGTATCTCTCCATTGCCTTTGTTAGTTGAATCTGTCCCCAAAGTATATATGTTGGCTATCAGCAGCTTTGAGCCCTGAGGTTCATGCCATGATGATTAAACTAAATATCTCTGATTTACCTGAATGGTTATACTACTTATGAAGGGAAGGTGAAAATTTCATACTGGCTCATCCTGTCATGTGCTGCACTCTTGATTCCTGGAGAAGAGTCACTTTTAGATAATGTAGAGGTAGTGTGACTTGCCTTGCAGAAAACAATACTTAAGAGTAACTGCAGTGATAAACATTGCAATAGCCTCTTACATTGAATCAGATGATTTAGAATTTTGACACTAATGTTGACTATCACATAATGATATGTAAAACCTTAGACATATTTTCTAGAAGGTCAAATTCAAAGGTTGACAAATACATGCTTCTAAATAAAGGAATGTACCATTCATTATATGTTTATTTATGTAACAGTCACAAAAGCATATATTCAGATGATTTTTGTAAAAGCTGATTTTTTTTTCTTTTTATCTTTTTGTAGAATATTTTGGAAATTTTTAGCTGTAGGCCTCTATTTATAACCTGTTTTTAGCATATATTTCTCAACCATTCTTTAGGATTTTTTTCCACATTTTTATAGATAATTAATAAACAATTAACTGCATGATGCAACTTAAAAGCAAGATCAAGTTTTTAAGAATCAAAATTGGCATTCTATCTAATGATGATATCTTTAAAGTTAGATAATTTAAGGTCATAAATTTTGCAGGATAATCTTCTAGACTAGAGAAGCAAAACCTAGAAAAAACTAATCTACAGATGTTATATAGAAATATAAATATCTTTACATAGTTAACTTTTGAGGAAATTAACAAAGAAAATTGCAATGTGTACAAGTTATCATTGTAATAAGATAATATGAAGACCTGCCATACCCTATTTGATTTATTCTCACTGTTTTAAAATAAAGTAAATGTTTATCTTAGTAACAGAAACAGGTTGATAGGAAGAAAATCTAAAGTCATATATTAAAAGCTAAATGATAAGAAACTATGGTTTGTCATTTCATTATATTGACATAAATTCAAAGATCTAAAAAATCATATTTCACAGAGTATACCCTTCATTTGAAATTCTGCTTTAATAAAAATGTATCTTTCTTATAACTATATTCCCAACAATACTGACCTGCATGGTGCCAACAAATGTTTATTAAATGAATAAATCAGATTTGTTTCTCAAGACAGCTGTTTCTCGTGAATAATCAGTACTTTATGTCTTTGATTTCTATAAAGAGAACATTATCATGGATGCCTGAAAAATAACTTACCTGAATTCTCGGAAAATATTGTTGGGACTATTGTGTCTATGTTTTTATCTGTTATTTTGGAAAAGTCTTGCGTATGAAAGATGCTCTTCTAGAAGCTCTAACTTTAACTGGTGGAATAGAATGAAGTAATAGAATCATGTGCCTATTCTTGCTGATTATATATGTCATATATGATTCATTCAAAAGCTATGTTAAAGACTTTAACTGTGGACTCCTCAGATGATGTTATCCTCTTAAAATATCTCCTAGCATTAATATACAGATAAGAACATGACTGCTATGCCCTCATCAAGCTGCCAGTTTTGTGTCAAACATTTTAAAAGCACAGAATTATAACTGATGGTGATGATGGGATTTTTACTTCCAGTAATCACATCAATCAGTGCAATTTCTTATATTACTATACCTGGAGAAGTGTAAGTGCATATTATATCATCAGTGTGGACACTCAATACATTTGTTGAATGAAAAAATGTAGAATTCAAAATAAACAGTTTAGTTTATAGCTCTAGGAACTCAAGAAATTATTACTTATAAAGGAAATATTTAACAATATATCTTCTTACTACATAGATTTCAGTATTATTTCTTTTTACTTCAGTTAAAGGTTTATGTAATATAATTTTTGTACTTACGGTGAATATTTCTTAACATTGGAAACATATCCTTTTTATTTTAAGGAGTCCAATACACACATACACACATATATAAATAACTCTTTCTCTTTCTCTATTTTATATATATACACACACATACATACACACACACATACACAAGATTTTATATATATATATATATATATATATATATATATATATATATATATGAAGGTTTATATAAATTACTAGGAAAGTTTGGGATATTTACTGTCTTAATGTTGGTAAGAATACTGAGTATATAGTGAACACCTATGATATCTATTTTGCAATGACTTTTTAAAAAATGGTGTCCTTATTAAAAACACTTATAGTGATGTTTAAAAATGTATACAGTTTGTTTCTGAGCCTGTCGTATTCTAATTGTTTAAGTCCAAACTCCTGAAAACATAGACTATCCGTTTGAATAAGAAAAAATATTGTCTATTTCTTGCTATTAAACTCGTAAACCTACAGCAAACTCACCCAACCCAAAATTACATTTAGCAGATGAAAATTACCATAGGGAAAATTAGATTTGCATTTATGCTCTACTAATGATTTATTTTGGGGTATAATAAAAGTAAATATGAATAACACATCTCTAGGTCATTAGAGACTATTATATTTATTGTAGTCAATTTTCATTTTATAAAATCTATGGGTATTTTTATTATATTAGCATTATCACATGAATATATTGAAAAGAAATATAAACAAACCTTACCATAATTAAACTTCTAATTGGTTTCATTTACACAGAATGGTGAATAAAATAATGCCTACAAACATTGCAAGTAATGGTTTCAGTTATAATGACTGTCACTTTGTATATATTTTATCCTTATACTATTATTTCTTCTTTATGCCTGTTAATACACTCAATGTTGGTAGAAAATTGTATTCTATAGTCATTTCCTTAGTTGTTTAATTTCTGGAGACCCTGACTTCACATTGTAATCGGTTGTTATTTTAAGAAACTTGGGCACCAAAGTGGGATACATAATCAGATATTTTAAAAAAATCAATGTATGACTCATCTATCAGTGATCTATGCTATGTAACAGATGACCTCAAAATTTCAGTGACATAAAATCGTAAGCACTTTTTGCACGAATATCGGGAATAGTCAACTTGATATCTCTGTTGAGTTGACTGTGGTTGCTCTATCTGTTAAGGTGTGTGTTGGCTGCCTGCTGGCTGATCTGTGCTGGCCTAAGGTGAGAATACTGAGGCTGCTTGGCTGTACTTCACATGTCTCTTATTCTCTAGGTTATCATAACACTTTATCATAACACTTTATCATCTTGATGAAAAAGTCAGGGCAAGCACAAACATTTGGGTACTTTTCAATCTTCTCTATTTGTTAAAGGAAGTCATTGGTCACAGTCAGAATAGGATATTGCGGTTCCATGGCCCAAAGAGAGGACACAGAGAAAGGCAAAGAATACAGGTCATTTTGGCCAGTTGCTTGATAATAAAAATACAAGTGAAATGTATCTCCAGCTACCTCAAAATATTCTTATTAATAGAATATGCAGATTTTTCAGAGACTTATACATTATTTTCAGTAGTGGAGCAAATAAGCAGCGAAATCATTGGTGGTTCAGTCCTGGGAGTCAGGTGGATGGCATGCCTGGGAAATCTCCTCATGAATGGAAGAAACCCAATAACTGCCTAGAAATGGAGTTTGGGATCTTGTACTGAAGGAAAGCTGATATACTCTATACGATCCCTAGATAGCTGTCTAAGAAGTAGGGACAAAGTGACATTCTAGTGGCCAGCAGGAATAAGAGAACATAGAGAAGTGAACGTGGTTTTTAGATTGCTACTGCCATGAGATCTAATTTCTGCAGGGAAGATTGAAGAAAAACATGCCTCATCAGTCTTGACTCTGACACCAGATTTTTGAATTGAATGAGAGTTCACTTTTTAAACCCTGGGAGACGGGGCTACTGTTTTGTTATTGTTGTTGTTGCTATTTTTTTTTTTTTTTGGTAGGTGGTGATTTAAGGGTAAAATAATGATGAGTCACATACGACTATTTTTAGAAAAGAAAAAAATGAGGGTGCTGGGGAGTCAGGGTAGAAGCTAGATTTACAGATAGAGAATATGAGATGCCTTCAGAATTTTCTCTCTGTGGCTTTTCCAGTTCAGCTACGCCTTGGTCCCTAATCATAGAAGTAAAATGTCAGACATCTTCACTCTAGATGGAGAGGAAGATACAAATGAGGATTTAGAGTCAAGCGTAGGATGCCTTTTATAGAATGTCTGTCTCTGAGGAGACAGATAAAGGTAAATTTTACCTCTGGTGGCAGAACTTAAGATTTCTCCAGAGAACTGCATGCTTCCCCCACCACCCTTGTCTCAGCCTAAGAATTTGAATGGAAGGTCTTGAAATTTGAACAGCCATTTACATTCATGTTGCTACCCAAGGTTATTGCACAGCGGAATTTTGAGATTCTACATCAAAGGTTGAAGAATGCTGGAAAATCAGCACTCTCTCAGGAACATTCATTCATATCAAAAGGGAATACAGGACCCTCATCAAAGATGAACAAGGAATAACTCTATAAGTTGTTTCTTAGATAGTCTTTCAAGAATTGTATGTATAACACTTATTAGGTATTATTCTACTTGGAAGCTAATTAGAGAGCTAAAATATGAAGCTTAAGAAAGGAGGGGGGATTGTGCAAGAAAAACGAAATACATTTTATTCAGGTACAGCTAGTGCTCGACTTAAGACCACGGTCAGGCCCACGGAACGGCCATAACACGATTTGGTCGTAAGTTAGGTAGGCTATATGTACAGTTGAAATGGTGCACGCAGAGATGGTAGTGCTGCCCGAAGCTGGTCTGCACTGTCCTCCACCCAGCTGGGCAACATTTGTGCTGCCAGACACGGAGCAGTCGTGGCTAGCGATTGTGGTTGTAAAGTCGAATGGTCGTAAGTTGCATAGGTCATAAGTCGATCAATACCTGTATTAGCCGGGCGCGGTGGCTCAAGCCTGTAATCCCAGCACTTTGGGAGGCCGAGGCAGGTGGATCACGAGGTCGAGCGATCGAGACCATCCTGGTCAACATGGTGAAACCCCGTCTCTACTAAAAACACAAAAAAGTAGCTGGGCATGGTGGCGCTTGCCTGTAATCCCAGCTAGTCAGGAGGCTGAGGCAGGAGAATTGCCTGAACCCAGGAGGCGGAGGTTGCGGTGAGCCGAGATCGTGCCATTGCACTCCAGCCTGGGTAACAAGAGCGAAACTCCGTCTCAAAAAAAAAAAAAAAAAAAAAAAAATACCTGTATTAATTTTGAGGTATGCAGCTAGGTAGAACAATAAGAAAAAAAAAGTTGAGTTAGGCTCCTGTGGTTCAGAAAGAAAATACGAACAATTATTATTATTATTATTTTAACCACCAAAACATTGAGAACAAGGAGTTATTTTCCAATAAGAGTAAGAAAGAATGGCATTTTAATAAAATGAAACTGTGTTTATGCTGCCTTTCTTTTTTGTGTTTCGCATGCTCTGTGTCTTCTGACCTGATATTTGGGTCATATTGGGTAGATGAACTTTGTGTTCTGTTCTGACATGGAGGCACACTTCCTATCTTGGTCAGGGATGTCTCGGGGCTTAGAGAAGGACTGATGACTCACATGATGGAAATGAAGCCATTAATGGTTATAGAATGGGATGAGAGCTGGGTGAAGTCAGAGGCAGAAAAAATAAAGTATATCATATAAGAATTAATTCATTCACCTAGATTCAGCTTCAAATTATTCAAGACCAAAACCAGCATGTATAAAGATGTAAACAAAACAAAAAGCAGTAATATATTATATGATTACACAGTTATACACATATATATTTTATGTTTTCCAGTATTTATTTTCCCCTTTTGATCATAGCACCACAATTTTCCTTGGATTACATTTTTCCCCATCGCTAATTCCACTTTTGCATGATTTCATGATGGTAGATATCATCTATTTGCTTTTAGATGTAGGACTTCCTTAAGCATTTATTTTCAGACCAGTCCAGTGGTGATGAACTGATTCTCTTAGTTTTTGCCTGTATAGGAAAGACTTCATTTCTTCTAAATAGCTGAAAAGTAGCTTTGCTGGACACAATATGTTAGACTGACTTTTTTTTTTCCCTTCAGCACTTTGAATCTATTATTCCATTATTCCTGGCTTGTTATATTTTTACTGAGAAATCTGCTCTTAGTCTGTTAAAAATTTCCTTAGATGTTACCAGACACTTTTGCTGTTTTCTTAAATTCTTTTAAGATCTTTTAATTTATTTTTATTTCTCAAAATTTCAATAGCTTTAGGGGTACATATGGTCTTGGTTATATGGATAAATTGTATAGTGGTGATATGGTTAGGCTTTGTGTCCTCAACCAAATCTCATCCTGAATTGTAACCCCCATAATCCCTATAACCCCCGTGTGTCAAGGAAGAGACCAAGTGGAGCTAAGTGAATTTACTGCATGTTGTTCTTGTGATAGTGAGTGAGTTCTCACAGGACCTGATGGTCTAATAAGGGTCTCTTCCCTCTTCACTCAACACTTCTCCTTCCAGCTGCCCTGTGAAGCAGGTGCCTTGCTTCCTCCTTGTCTTCTGCCATGATCGTAAGTTTCCTGAGGGCTTCCTAGCCAGCCTGAACTGTGAGTCAATTAAACCTCTGTTCTTTATAAATTACCCAGTCTTAGGCAGTTTTTTATGGCATTATGAAAACAGATTAATACAAGTGGTAAAGTCTGAGATTTTAGAGCATCCATCACTAAAATGAGAGTAGTGAGCATCGTACCCTATATGTGTGTGTGTGTGTGTTTGTGTGTGTGTGTGTGTGTTTGTGTGTGTACACTCAAATGAGCCCCCTCTCATTCCCCTTTTACCTTCCCTTCTTTGGATATTTCAGTATCCATAATTCTTTCTCTTTGACTTTTGATCATTTTGCTATAACTATCTGTAAGAAAACCTTTTGAGTTAAATCTATTAGGGAATCTTTAATCTTTCTGACTCTGGAAGTCCATCTCTCTGAAGACTTGGGAAATTTCCAGCTCTTCCTTTATTAAACAGGTTTCCTATGACTTTTTCTGTTTCTTCTTTATAGAAACTTCATAATGCAAATATTTATTGCTTAATGATATTCCATATATCTCACAGGCTTTCTTTATACATTTAATTTGTTTTCTTTTTTCCTTTCTGTCATTCTTTTTTTATTTCTTTCTCCTTGTCTGATGGGGTTATTTCAAAAGTTATCTTCAAGTCAGAAATTCCTTCTTCTCCTTCATCTTCTTTGTGGTTAAAACCCACCTTAGTATATATAATTTCAGTCATTAAATTTTTCAGTTCCAGAGATTCTGCGTCATTTTTTCTCATGATACCTATTTTTTTTTGTTAAATTTCTCTTTCAGATCAGATAATTTTTCTTATTTTTTAAACTTTTTTTTTCTGGGTTTTCTTGTATCTCACATTTTATTTATTGATTATTATTTAATTTTTTTTTACAAGCATTCCATGGATTTCCTTTCAGGGGTGTTTTCTCTCACTGGAAAATTATTTTGTTCCTTTGAATGTGCCATGTTTCCTTGCTGTTGCCTGTTTTTGTGTCCCTCCACTGATATCTGTGCAACTGGTGGAATAGTTTCTTCTTCCAATTTTATGGAGTAGCTTTCATAGGAAAATACTTTTTTTTTTTTTTCTTTTTCTGTAGATGTGTTCTAGAGTATTGGTTTGGTAGACCGCTTTGGCTTAGGTTCTGTGTTCACAGTAGTGTAGTCTCCATATAATTTCTCTGACTTTAATTATCATCAGTGGTATATGTGAGGGTCTTGGTAGCATAGACTGCAGTTCTTTGTAGAGGCTGTGGTGAGGCCTTGCTGAAGAAAAAGATGCTAGGATGGCCAGTTCTCCTGCGTGTGGCAGTACCACCCCTGAATGTAATGGAGAACTCCCATGGTAGCAGGCTTGGTGGGCTAGTTCTTAGGTCCCCAGGGTCATGTATAGTCTTGCACCAGCTCTGCCACTAAAGGAGATGGGGTTCTCTTTTGAATTATCTCAGCACCAAAGATATTAGCAAAAATATCAGCCTGAAGGGAGAGACCAACAGAGAGATAACAGATATTCTTGCTACTAAAGTTAATGGATTCTTCTGTGATCAATTAGAAATAGAATAGATTTGGTAGGTTGGTACTTTGACATTTTGTATTATTTGACATATATAGTTGGAGCAATACACTTTTCTAGATGACAGGACAGCAACCGTGTTTATCTAAGTTTATATTTCTGAGCATTTCACATAGCTTTGCTTATTAAATATTGTATTTTGCTTTTTTTTTTTGAAGTCCCTTATCTCTGAGGCTTACAATCTGTTTGAATTATTTGCCAATGAGTTTTACTTGCACTATGACAAATCTAACTTACTTGAAACAGCGTAGTATGTCTTTGTAAGGTTTTGTCTTTCTAATGTAAATACATAGTACCAGATGTTAGGTAATTGAAAGAAGGAACCTTGTGTTTGAAATGTTTCTTCCTATTGTCAATATTCTTTCAAAGCACCATTTTATTTCCAGAAGAAAGAATGTGTTTAGAAGCAAACTGTAAAGAAGTTTAGTGAGCTGTGATATTCATATCCAGTGAAAAGAAAAAAGATAGATTTAGAAAACTAATATCTTTTAGTTCAAATATTTTAAAAATAATTTTTATTCAAAACATTTTCTTATAGGCTCAGTCATTTGTGTTATAGTCATTGGAAAACTATGATAGTATTATTACTTCATTAGAATGACTTCATTTCAATAACTAGCTTTTCACACTTGATCTTAGCCAAAAGGCCAAGAAGCCATAATAAATAGCTTTTCATTAGTGAGAGGGTAAAGTATCAATATTATAATCACATTTCAGAAGAAAATAAACTGACAGTAAATGTAAATGTACACTGATGATAATTATACTATTATCTCTCAGGCATTAATATACAAAAAGGGTCAGTATATTCAAAGATATGGTAAGCATTTTCCTATATTTGACAACTTCTACATAGACATATTAATTTTTTTGACTACTATGAATATCATATAAAGTATATTTGACTTTTCTCATTTGGACTATGTCCCAAATGTTTAACGGTGTGAACTATTAATAACATATATTTTAAAAAGTGGCTTAGATAGAGTTGATAGAGAAAATAGGATTCAAGTTGACTTTTCCATATTGCAGCTCCCATTAACCCTTACCATAGGCAGCACATGTCATTTTCTCTCACATTACTGTATTTGAGAATTTATAGCAATGCTGGTTTTCTTTTCTTTCTTTCTTTCTTTCTTTCTTTTTTTTTTTTTTTTTTTTGGTCTTTTTGTTATACTTTAAGTTCTGGGGTACATGTCTAGAATGTGCAGATTTGTTACACAGATATACACGTGCTACCATGGTTTGCTGCGTCCATCACCCATCATCTAATTTAGGTATTTCTCCTAATGGTATCCCTCTCCTATCCCTGCTCCCCCTATTATTCTCCATTAATCATCAGCCCCCACAGGCCCCAGTGTGAGATGTTCCCCTCCCTGTGTCCATGTGTTCCCATTGTTCAACACTCATTTATGAGTGAGAACATGTGGTGTTTGGTTTTCTGTTCTTGTGTCAGTTTGCTTAAATGATGGTTTCCAGTGTCCCTGCAAAAGACATAAACACATCCTTTTTATGTCCGCTTAGTATTCCAGGGTGTATATGTGCCACATTTTCTTCATCTAATCTATCATTGATGAGCATTTGAGTTGGATCCAAGTCTTTGCTATTGTAAACAGTGCCACAATAAACATATGCATGCATTTATCTTTATAATAGAATGATTTATAATCCTTTGGGTATATATCCAGTAATGGGATTGATGGGTCAAATGGAATTTCTATTTCTGGATCCTTGAATAATTGCCACACTGTCTTCCACA